CGACATCAAATAACATCTACACAGGAATAATCATCCACAACTTTTACAAGATCAACCATTGTCATACGACATCAAATAACATCTACACAGAATAATCATCCACAACTTTCACAAGATTAACCATTGTCATATGACATCAAATAACATCTACACAGAATAATCATCTACAGCTTTTACAAGATCAACCATTGTCATACGACATCAAATAACATCTACACAGAATAATCATCTACAGCTTTTACAGATCAACCATTGTCACACGACATCAAATAACATCTACACAGAATAATCATCCACATCTTTCACAAGATCAACCATTGTCACACGACATCAAATAACATCTACACAGAATAATCATCCACATCTTTCACAAGATCAACCATTGTCACACGACATCAAATAACATCTACACAGAATAATCATCCACATCTTTCACAAGATCAACCATTGTCACACGACATCAAATAACATCTATACAGAATAATCATCTACAGCTTTTACAAGATCAACCATTGTCATACGACATCAAATAACATCTACACAGGAATAATCATCCACAACTTTTACAAGATCAACCATTGTCATACGACATCAAATAACATCTACACAGAATAATCATCCACAACTTTTACAAGATCAACCATTGTCATACGACATCAAATAACATCTACACAGGAATAATCATCTACAGCTTTTACAAGATCAACCATTGTCACACGATATCAAATAACATCTACACAGGAATAATCATACACAGCTTTTACAAGATCAACCATTGTCACACGACATCAAATAACATATACACAGGAATAATCATCTACAGCTTTTACAAGATCAACCATTGTCATACGGCATCAAATTACATCTATACAGAAATAATCATCTACAACTTTTACAAGATCAACTATTGTCACACGGCATCAAATAACATATACACAGGAATAATCATCTACAGCTTTTACAAGATCAACCATTGTCACACGATATCAAATAACATCTACACAGGAATAATCATACACAGCTTTTACAAGATCAACCATTGTCATACGGCATCAAATTACATCTATACAGAAATAATCATCTACAACTTTTACAAGATCAACCATTGTCACACGATATCAAATAACATCTACACAGGAATAATCATACACAACTTTTACAAGATCAACCATTGTCATACGGCATCAAATTACATCTATACAGAAATAATCATCTACAGCTTTTACAAGATCAACCATTGTCACACGGCATCAAATAACATATACACAGGAATAATCATCTACAGCTTTTACAAGATCAACCATTGTCACACGATCTCAAATAACATCTACACAGGAATAATCATACACAGCTTTTACAAGATCAACCATTGTCACACGACATCAAATAACATATACACAGGAATAATCGTCTACAGCTTTTACAAGATCAACCATTGTCACACGGCATCACATAACATCTACACAGAATAATCATCCACATCTTTCACAAGATCAACCATTGTCACACGGCATCAAATAACATCTACACAGGAATAATCATCTACAGCTTTTACAAGATCAACCATTGTCATATGTTATCAAATAACATCTACACAGAATAATCATCCATAGCTTTCACAAGATCTACCATTGACACATGAATTTAAATAACATCAACACAGATTAATCTCCTCTGTTACAGCTTTAAACAATGTCTTTAAAAGGCATTATACAGAATCTACACAGGATAAATCAAACATCCACTGTTGTCAAACCACTGTCTTAAGGCATTACACAACACATGAGGAAGGGAGTTAATGTCTCGCAGTATGATGTAGAAAGGAAAGGGGAAGTTATCCATGTAAGGCTTGATTTTTGGTAGATGAAAATAAACCGTCGCTCACCTAACAGGTGCTTGGTCTCTAGGCCTGCTGGGAGTGTAAGGCTTCTATCTGTCTCTGTAACTTCTCTCTCCTGTCAATCAAGTTGAGGGTCAAAGGATGTTGTAGGTGGGAGGGAGTGACCAGCAGATGTAGACCCGTCATTTGTCTTGACCTCAGTATCTGTATTTTAAAATATTCAAAAATTCCTACAACTGATAAAAAAATATTTATTTCTATTACTTTATATGTAAAAGAAAGATATGAAAAATAACGAATAGTATTCAGTCTCAAAGTCTATTACACAATTAAGCATTGAATTAATATTTTTGGATGTCTACGGTCCTTTGACACACCTGGCCGTGCCGACAAATTGAATACCGCGCTTTAGCGCGGTATGATAATTTGTCGCAAGGCCAGGTGCGTTATAGGACCGTAGACATCTAAAAATATGATTTCAATGATTATATTTACATGTACATTCTCTAATTTTCCTTCTTTATAATTGCTTATTTCGTTAATCTTAAATTGAATTTAGCACCCTTCAAAACTGTCTTGATCAATAGTTGTTAGAGCCGTCTGTGACGTCAAATGACGTAAAATAACGTTGCAAAGTTAAATAACGCAAACAAACATTGCGAGGAAAAAAGTGTCAAATTAATTCTTAACCCTAACTACATTAATTTTTACATTAATTTTTTAGGGTTATATTTTTTCATGAAATTGTAATAAAACATTTTACATGTTGGTGTTCCTAAAGTATTGAAAATGCATATAGTTCCTACTGAGTACCAGGGTATTCTAACGCGCGGTGACAAGGTTTCGCGTGTGTTACAGAAATTTTAACGTCGTGGATTTCTAATAGATTTCATAAGGAAAATTACACTGAATGTAAATATTACAAAATAAGTGCAGAGCAAGAACGGACCCCCGAAACATCAAAGTTGTGATCAGTATCTAATTTTTTGAGATAAAATTGATAATCAACAGGATATAGCAAATTCCAGTTTTTTTTTACACACATCAATATTTTTATGTGTACATCTGTCTTTAACTTACCTCCCTTTGTTTAAGCTGTAATTTGATCTTTGTCTTGACCACAGAATCAACCTTGGTTTGTGGAGGAAAATGCTTAGTAGACCTGCATACACCCACATTTTCTCTACTGTACTCATATCAGCCTCATTGTCAATTATACTGCAAGTATTCCACTCAAACACTCCCAGACTATAAATAAATCAGGCCTCATAACTCCAAGCAGGAGATCTATTATGGTTTGAATTAATTTTTAACTGCCCCTGTGAGAAGGATCTTTGTTTTGGAGGCATGTGATGAACTCTTACACACTCTTTTGTATTTGTCTTCCGATTCCTTTGATTTAAACATGGTCACAGTGAAGTATTGAAACAAACACTTCAACAATATGCTGTCTCAGCAGTTTTCTAAGGGGACAACACGAGTGCCTTGGTATATTTTAAATGTTTATCATTAAAATCATTTTATTGACTTTCTCTAAAGTCTTTGAATTCATGAAGCTTGTGAATACACACAAAATCTAAATTACAACTGACCTAGTTTTTAGATTCTCTTTACACAACATTGAACCTTGAGACAAGATGTGCCGTGACAGGATCTGTGTTTTGTGTAGACTTGTATTTTTGTCTCTCAGGGGTACATCAACAGTAAGATGTTTGTCCTGTGATGACTTCTGTGTACGAGGTCTGTCCTGTGATGATTTCTGTGTTTCCACAGATTCTCCACACAACTGGTGGCAGGTATTTTGACTTAGAACTGACCTGTGAAGCCTTTCTGGATTTTGTAAATGTAGTGATAAACAACATTAAAATTTTATCAAAATATTTGACCTCTGGCTGGCAATTAAATTTAAGATTATCTTATATCAGAGGGTGAAGAGCAAACATTAATACCTTATTATATATTTTTTTTATTTCATAATACATTAACATTTTTCAATATCCCCAAGAAACAGAGTTGTATGGTAATGCAAACATGTTTGTTTGTGGATGTGATATATCCTGTACTAATTGGATTGATTCTAACTATATTTTATAACGTCCCTCGTGAGAAATTTCACTCATATGGAGACGCCACCACATGCCAGTGGAGATGAAAATATTTTCCTAAACTCGGTACTCAGGGCCATTGAACAGGAAGGGATCTTTTTCGCGTCACCCCGACCTTCAGGGTTATATGGTCTCGTACACAGGACCAGCCCCCGCATCCCACAGTGGGAATTGAACCCAAGACATAAGGATCGACTCCTAACTTTAACACTCTAGAGAAGAACTTCTAACCATTGCATCACAAAGGAGAACTGTTCTCAATGGAAGTGACTTTATTTGCATTGGGATCAATGTCAAATGATGTTTGAATTGTAGATATGCTCTTTGCAAGGGGTTGTTCTGGTTTGCAGTGCCGTTGTTGAGAATCATACAGTTATACCACATTCTCTATCAAATGTCATTGATCATGATTTTTTACTGTATTGTACGTTGATCTTGATCAAGATGATTTTATTAAAGTTTTAGTTTTTTGCTCTTCTGAGTGAATTTTTACTGCAATGCAGGAAATCCTGTTGTACTTTAGTTTAAGAACAGTACATTAGTATGATAAAGTTCAATATTTTATTAAATTAAATATACCAATTCTTTAAAATTTTTGAATTATAAACATTTCTAAAAAAAACAAGACAAGTATCGTTTAACATTATATATTTTATTTTTCACTCTTTGCTTCAAATCTGTTATTTAAAATTACATTTACTGTGTGGTAGTCTAGCCCACTTATTCTCTTATTCAATTTCTGCATTGATGCAAAGACTTACGGCATGGGGATTTAAATTTTCTTGTTATTCGGCTAACCTCAACTATTTACGTTATCTAAGACACAATATGTTCATGTTTAAAGCAGGACGTAAATAACACTCTACCTGGATACACGTCATACATTACAAATGGCCGACACTCATCACGACTATGAATGAGATTTACTGGACCACAAAAAAAGTATTAATTCAATTCATGTTCAGTATGTTGTAATCTATACCCGCTTATGAGACTAGTGTCTTAATAACCTACACTCTGATAATAAATATGTTGTAGAGCTTTCATCAATAATAATGAATGAAGTCCCAGACACAGCCCAGCATTATATTGAGTGTGACACGGAATCCTGTATAAACTTCTCTGTGTTTTACTGCAATACCTGTCATCAGCGAATATGTGACCAATGCAAACAGCGCCATCTAGAGCTGAACAAAGAACATGATATTGTCCTCTATAGACGGAGAAAGAAAAAACTTCCTTCAGAGAAATGCAAGATCCACCCCACAGAAAAATTAGATATTTTCTGTGATGTTTGCCAGGATCCTCTTTGTTCTACATGTTTTGACCAAGACCACAGTGACCATGGTAAAAGTGACCTTGAAACCATCTATAATGACATTTTACAGCGATGTCAGAAGGAAATAAATGATATCTGGAACAACATCCCTAAAGCTAAAGATAACATTGAATCAATGAAAAATTATGTCAAGAATGAAATTGCCAAAATAAGAGTTTCCATGCAGAAGAGAGCTGATGAACTGAAAATGGTTGTTAATAGTGTTCTAACTGATAATAATAAAAAATTAGATGAGATCGAGAACTCTGTCCTAAATCATATGGGGGAACAACAGAAAAAAACAAAGGACTACACAGATTACTTGGAAGGAATGATTGTAGACTATGAGAGTAAAATGTCTTCAATTAAACCCACAGAACTCATGACATTCCATTCAGACATTTCATTAGCTACCCTGAAGATGACTAGTAAATCTGAACCCAACTTGCCAAACTTTACATTTGGTACACTAAATAAAGAAGAAATAGCCAAACAGTTTGGTGAAATAGAACTAGATTTATCAGAAAGGTTTGAGCCTTCTTCCATCACAAAAGTAAAAGAAGTCGCTCTCCAGAGACCTATAATTTACCACTTGTCTCAATTGCCCCCAAATAAATTTTGGGCTAGTGATATCTTAGGGAATCTCACACAGTATGATATGGAAGGAAACATCTTAAAGATCATATCCACCAATATTGGATACATTCAAGGTAACCACACAGTCACGACAGAGGGTAACCTACTTTACACAGATAACGATAAAAACACGGTATACAGAGTAAGCAGTGACATGTCCATCAACAAGTTTTTCGAGACAGGGAAATGGAAAGCTGGAGCCATCTACTCCTCTCCTGTTAACGGAAATATATTGATTGTGATGGAGATTAAACCAATCCAAAAGATAACTAAATACAGCAGAGAGGGAAGGAAGTTACAGGACATACAGTGGGATGATAAAGGAAAAACTCTCTATAAAAGTATAAATTATATCACAGAGAACATCAATGGCGACATCTGTGCATCTGACTGGAAAGCTGGTAAGGTTGTTGTGGTGACAGCATCAGGGGAGTACCGCTTCACTTATTCTGGTCACCACTCTCAGTCTCAATTCCGTCCTTTTGGAATCTGTACAGATGTCCTGGGAAACATTTTGGTGTGTAATGGCTATTTTACAAATAATGAAAACTGCACTAGTATCCACCTGCTTGACTTGAATGGTCAGTGCCTGTCTCTTTTACTCACACCAAAACAATGTCCTCCACGTCCCTGTGCTCTCTGCATTGATAAACAACACAATCTCTGGGTTGGGACATTGAATATTCGTACTGTCTTTGTGTACAAATATTTGCAGAATACAAACCCATGATTTTTTGTATTTACTTTATTGTTAATGCTTCATTAGTGTATGTTACGTACAACCATTAAAAGTGCTAATCAAGAAAAAAAATTACTAGAAAGGTTTAAAACATCCACTGGAAAAAGAATTTAGTTGGTTCCATGATTCCATCCCATGAAGCCCAAAGAAATTCTCAACAGATTAAATCACTGAACCGACCAGTTCATACAGACCGGTTCATACAGTATTGAACATACTGATTTCGCTCTTTAATGAGTTCATCTATGTGCAGTTGAAGTCCTGGATTATACGAGTTTGTTAAATGACTACCTTTTCAGAGAAGAAGATGAAAATATTTAAAAATTAACGCCCGATAGGATGGACGTAAACGCAAAGCAATAGGTCATCTGATTAAACTTATAATCTAGTAGTGTGGTTTGAATTGGATTGCAGTTACTTGGGAATAGACTTGTTTTAAAAAATGATTATTTGCTCATCCAGAAATATAAATCAAAATAAGCATCTTGAGCAAGTTTGAGTTTTCAGCTATTGATGCATCATCCCTGCAAGTTTGGTTCAAATATATCTTCTACTTCCTGGTAATGGACCTGGTCCAATAAAATAACCTGGTCAGTCAGGTCCAGTTTATCAAGTGAATCAACTCTGGTATTGTGCAACTGTTTCAGAAAAAACTTTCTTAAGCGCAAAAGTGGTTAACATAAGGCTAATAGTCACCTTGGAAAAGACACGAAGATGACAAAGATGACATAGCATTTGAACACAATTTTCTGCTCCAACAAACTTCAACCCAAGATTATGATGCCGAAAGGAACGCCGAGGAAAAGTTCCCCCAACCTTTATTGTGTTGAGCTAAAAAGTGTAAATTTTACAGAAAGCTTTACCTCCAGCTACAACTAAATGATGTTGTAAAAAAAAAGAAGCAAAGAATGGATATACATGTAGTGGTATCTTTTCATACGATATTACATAATTAATGCCATATTTCGGCAAATAAAAAATAAGAAAATATCTGTAATTATTTTAATTTACCATAACAATATCATCATTCATAATTTGTTTTCCATTTTGTTTTCATAATTTGTTTTCCATTTTGTTTTGTGTTTGAGCTATTCAACTTCTTGATTAAATCATAAATAAAAGAAACCTCAGCATTCCTCAAACAAAAGTACATGTGTTCTTCTTCATAAGTAACTTATGGCATATTTTGACAAATCAAAAGTCACTTGTGTTGCACATGCATTGTGTTGTTGATTGTACTGTAAATGTTGTATGTGCTTGTGTAAGTCCACAAGAAAAAAAACCTTTCACAGAAGCCCAGTAAATCCATCTGCACAAAATTTATTAAACATCCATTGCCGTCACACATTATCCTAAGGCGTCACGCAGAATCTACACAGAATGAATTAAACATCCACTGCCGTCACAAGTTCAAACCATTGTCTTAAGGCCTCAAATGACAAATGACACATAAGGAAGGGAGTTTATCTCTTGCAGTATAATGTAGAAAAGAAAGGGAAATTAATCCATGTAGGACTTGATTTCTGAAAGATACATCTTATATAACAAATGATTTTATGTCTGATATCAACATCATGTTTAAAACTTTATTCTAAAAATTATTACCAAGTCATGAGCAAAAAAAAAAAAAACTTCGCAGTGCTTTCCAAGATTTGATTTTTTTTCCTTTTTTGGATATAATAAATAACACATTTGTCAAAATGTTTTACAATAAAATCTATTTTTTATGTGATTTAATAATTTGTTACAACAAAACCCGAATTATTAAAAAATATGATGACAATTATATCCCACTCCACATATTCTCTTTAAAAAAAACGCATAGTAAAATTTTAGTGACACATTAAACATAAAGATTCTTTAGTAAAATGATGCATTGATTAAGCATAAATGTGTTAAGCAACAGAAATACTGCCAAAATGTCATAATTACTCAAAAATTTTGAAAATTTTAAAATCATATTCAGTTTGAGGCCATTAAGGATCAATATCTGGTATGCCCCCGCAGACACAAATGATAGCCACAAACGGCATCTAATGGAATTAAATGTGTGTAATAAAAATTGTATAGGAATAATCTCCCACTCCAAATGTAGAACTTTGGTCAGTTGTTGCAGAGTCTGGTGATTCGATTGTCTTTGGCAAATCATCTCAATCCATTTTGTCCAATGCTGCTTAATTTGGATTAAATCTAGCGATTTAGATGAATGTGACAGGAACAGTATGCTGTATGTCAAACGAGCCGTAGGTGGCTGTTTATTGTGATATTGCAAAACGGTTTTACGATGCTGCAAATTGGAATGGGCACGTGTAGGTAGAACATGGTTAGAGTACCCTTTTCAATCAAAGTCCATTGAATTTGAACGAAATCAATTTTACCTTCATATAATAACATTTTCAATAGCATTACACCACCAACACCAACTATTTCAACGTCCTGGAGGCATTTATTCTGTCTAACATTCATTACAAAGCATTGACACTCTTAAACTTATAAGAGGCTTTCAGATATATATTCTGGACTAGTAGCTAAACCAAAATGTTAAGCAGAGATTCTGTGGTCATACTCTATTGATTTGAGATCTTTGAAGTCGATATTTGGGGTGTTGGTGGGTCAAAAAAGTAGTATGAATAATCCACTTGCAATAAATCGTAGCCAACTGAAAACGGTCTTAAAATGATCTGTGCAGTTCAATGATAGCGAATCCTTTAGATGACGTCATTGAATTACATTAATTGCAATTAATGCAATCCTCTGAAGTGATGCTGTGCTGCTGATGTCACACGTAGTCTACCATATTTGTTTGCGAACATTATATTGGGTATTTGATGTTAATGATTTATGTTTTATAGGTTAGATATGGCGCTGTGCGTAACATTTAAAGTTCTTGCAATTGTAGATTGCAGTACCCCTGCTTCCAATCACCCATTTTCTTTTTTGTGCTTTGCATCATTCAGATGCAGCATTTTTAGGAAGCGTCCTTTTCAAGATAAAATCAGATTCAAAATATCGAGAACCCTCACTTTTGATAGACCCTTTGTACCTGAAGGAATTGCATCAAAATTCAACAAATGAAAATTGAGATCAAAAGTTTAGGGTAAATTTTGCAAAATCAGGGGTTTTTTTGTCTGTGAGACTTAATTGCTAAAAAATCACGCATTTTATTCATTATAACCATAAACAAGAGGCCCATGGGCCACATCGCTCACCTGAGAAGCTTTGACCATTCTGTTCATTACCAGATTTCCCCCTTGTTATACATAATGCATCCCCACCCTACCACACTGATCAATATTTAGACAGTTTGAAATCTACAGTATCCCATGATCCTTCCATGGGCACACATGTTTCAGCTTTTTTGGCCCAGTAGTTCCTGAGAAGAAGATTTTCAAAGATTTTTTCCTATATATTTCTATGTAAACTTTTGATTCCCCGTTGTGGCCCCGCCCTTCCCCTGGGGGTCATGATTTGAACAATTCAGATTCTTCACTATACCAGGATCCTACCACATAAGTTTCAGCTTTTCTGGCCCAGTGGTTCTTGAGTAGAAGATTTTCAAAGATTTTTCCTATATATTTCTATATAAACCTTGATTCCCCATTGTGGCCCCACCCTTCCCCTGGGGGTCATGATTTGAACAATTTAGAATCTACACTATACCAGGATGCTTCAACATAAGTTTCAGCTTTTCTGGCCCAGTGGTTCTTGAGAAGAAGATTTTTCCTATATATTTCTATATAAAACCTTGATTCCCCATTGTGGCCCCACCCTTCCCCTGGGTGTCATGATTTGAAGAATTTAGAATCTACACTATACCAGGATGCTTCCACATAAGTTTCAGCTTTACTGGTCCAGTGGTTCTTGAGAAGAAGATTTTTTAATGACCCAACCCTATTTTTGTCTTTTCTTGATTATCTCCCCTTGCGAGGGGATATGTCCCTTCATTTTAACAATTTATATTCCCCTTCACCCAAGGATGCTTTGTACCAAGTTTGGTCAAAATTGGCCCAGTGGTTCTTGAGAAGAAGTCGAAAATGTGAAAAGTTTACAGACGGACAGACAGACGGACAGACAGACAGACGGACAGACAGACAGACAGACGGACGGACGATGGACAAAATGTGATCATAAAAGCTCACTTGAGCCTTCGGCTCAGGTGAGCTAAAAATAGAAGGTATGACAAAACTATCATCCATTTTTCAGGGCATTGTTCCTACTATGCGATTCTTTTTTTTTCAGAGTATACTTATTATATTGGTACATGTACACTATACGTCTCAAAGTCTATAACAATATTACAATTTCTTTAAACCAAAGTCTTATCTCCAATATATGTTACAGTGTATATCTTAAAATATTGCATAATTAGATACACGATCTAACATGGAACAGCCCGAAATAATACTAAGCTATGGATCATGACTAATTGCAGAAGTTATGTTTCTTGTTGAAGAGGTTATCCTGTTACATATGAAAAAAGCCATTTCCACTTATTCGAGAGTGATTTTCTTAATTATGTTTTAATGCTAATGACAATATTGCAATGTTTCTAACATTGAATGCAAGAGAAACGTTCCTCTTGATTTATTGGTAATTAGGCACAGGATCAGTATTTAAGTCCATAATCATCATTGACGAGCTTTTATGTCTAGGAATCTTTTTAGGTCTTCAAATTAGAACTTAAAGCCAAATTAAATAAGATGTCATCAAAATTCTGCCTGAAACTATAGTAATCAAAAGTACAGGATTAATACCTATCTTTAAGGAAGTCTGTCGTTTCAGACAATTTGAAAGCAGTAAATTAAGGTAAAAAATAACACTTAATCAATGCAAACTTCATTTTAAATGCAAATATTTGAATGAGACGGTTTAAGTTTGACAGTCATAAAAATAAAACTTAAGGAACTAGATTATGTTAGATAAAATCCAATGCAATTGGATACTTTCTTTATATACAGGAAGATAATGCTTGTCATCTGTTTAAGGTAGACATAAAATAAGCACAGTTCTACTTAAGTCTGGGATTACTATTGATAAGTTTTTTGATAACAAAAAATTTGGAAACGGAGGAATAATCCTTTTTTACAAAAGGTTTGCGTGCTATGTCATTCCAATTAATTTCAATTAGATAAGTTGAAGGAAGATATCAAAATAAATATTTTCATCCATCAATAGCAATACAAATTTTTTTTTCATCTTTTGTATTTTCATGTTTAAACTGCATGTATAAACTACATATCTGACTTATTCTCAAGTTTTGTAGCTTCTTTACATTGCTGGCAGTGTGCCACCCTTTTATCTGCAATATTTACAGGATATATGGTAATTTTTTTTTATTTAAACAAAAGTCAGTGCAGATGTATACAATGGGCAGGACGAAGATGTTCAGATTTTTGACAAAACGAAATGACTCCCAGAGTTTTAATATATTCATGAGTTATTTATTGTTTACAAAGATCAAATAGCATTAACGTACAATTTTAATATGCCTTAAAGACGTTAATGGTGATATGTCTAACAAGTTCTAGATCTATGATTGACTTTTTTTTTAATTTTTCAATCGTAAACTTCCCTTACATGTGCTGCAATATACCTCTTTTACATATACCTGCATACGGAGTTAATCTCTGTCAGTTGATAAGATACACAAAAGCTTGCTTTACATATGTACACATTCTAAAATGAGATAAGTAATTGACAAACAAAATGATGAAATGAGATTATTCAGCAGTCTCATTTAAAGTCATTATTTAGTTGGTTCTATGGTCGATACAATAACGTGGTCAGCAAAAACAATTTATCGTTGAGTCAAGTGATGTTGACGTTTATTGATACACTGAATTGACAACGGCTTTTCCAGTTTTTTTTTCGACCATGATAAGGAAAACACGACGGATTTGACCGGTCGGCTTGGGTAAACTCGATTACTGCTGTATATATTCTATATTTTTATTCCTTTTTTCTTTGTTATTTAAGCCTCTAATGTACTGTTTCAGTCTCATACGACTTGCTGATAGCTAGATTCCAAGTAAATACCAAGAAGAAAGTCTTTGTCGATGTGGTGCACGTTTTCCATCATTATAAAGGAACAAATATGAAAGTCTGTCAGGGACTGTAGCTCTAGTTCCCAAGCGCCCTCCCAGTTAGTCTATAACACCTGTATCAGGGCTGATACCGTTTGAAGTATATATAGACTGGAAAATATTATTTTTTTTTAAATCTGAAAACGTGTTAATTATTTTTAGATATAATCACAGGCAATTTTCCTCAAATGGTGGTATAATTATTTAGTGATTTAAGATTCCAAATAAGCAAAGGATTGTTTAAAAATGAACGCATATACTTGATAGACGAAAGCTGCAGAATTGTTTCTCTCTACTTTACAAAATCCAAACACGAAGGACAATACAAATGTTTTTAAATAGAAATCACACTTGCAGTAAAGGTTGAAAGTTAAAAAAAAAAATGTAAATATAAGCAATGAATCATTATATTTTTAAAATATAGTCTCATAACTGCAACGGTGTGTGCAAACAAATTGAGTAACAGGTGTTAGAGAGACTATATGAGACTATATCTTTCAAAGAATAATAATTTATTGGTTAATTTAACTCCAATTTCTGATAATTTACTTATCTTTCACAAGTGTTTTTGTTTTAAACAAATGCAAGAAATATATTTTTTGATAATTCGAACGGATAATATAAATAATGATCTGATAATAATGATAATGAAATTGATATAAATTTGTAATGGTGTTTTCCTGGAAATTTCAAAAGCCTTGGGATATACATATATGTAAATGCAATGTTTATTCACATTTTCTGCTTTTCCTGTGCATTTTCAAAACATCACAGACAATACATATACAAGGGTTATTTAGAAAGTAAGCTAACCATCGTCATAACTATTTATCTAATTTACATTATATTCCGATTTTGTAGAAATATTTCAACATTGAATTCAATTGACATGTATTAAAAAATCTAAAATATTTTGATTTATACCGTTTTTTTTTTACTTTAATAAATGGGAAAATCATTTAGGGAAGATGTAAAAATTTTGTAATTTACAAGCAAGAATTTATTCAATTTATACAAATTATGTCTGAAGTGATGTTTTCTGTAAAATGGCACAAGAATAATTAAAATTATCCTACTAGCTAAGATTAAGAATTGCTAAATTGTTTCACATTTCAATAATTGTGACTGAATATATTGACTTGTAAATAAGGTTTCAATTTCAAAATATAGGTAGTCTTTGTTGGAAACAGTTAAAGCATATGAGACCGTAAAACGTTACGGACGGCAGTGAATAATAAAAGGCCACTAGCCTCATAAGTTCTTGATCTCAAGGCTTGTCGGGAGAATAAGATTTCTGTCTGTCTCTGTAACTTCTCCCTCCTGTCAATTAAGTGTAGGTGGGAGGGTGTTTCCAGTAGATGTAGACCCGTCATTTTTCTATGATGGGTGACCTTGACCTTAATGTCTGTATTGATTTCCTCCAACTGTAAAAAAATCAACCATTACTTTATTTTTTATAGCTGGGAAATTATAAGAAATCGATGTATCAGAGTTCCTGATATCATCCTAAGTAATTTAGCAAAGGTGAATTTAAACATGTAAAGAAGTCGGTTCACTTTATGCATAATATGGCCCTGTAGATATACCAATTAATTGATCAACAAGTGATTTTGTATTTGAAGCATTAAAATAAAATAGAGACTTGGTGCTTCATCTCCTATTAAAAGAATTCTTCTAAAAGTCCAGGTCTTGGAGAACTGGCATTATGAATTTGCAATGTTCTTGAAATTTTAGGTAAACAGGTATAATTGAGTACTTTCTGTGAATAAAAATGGTATCAGTGCACTCTCTGATCTAAAAAATAAAACATGTTCATTAATCCTCAGAAACAATTCTATCATCTACTAGTTGCATATTTTAGATCAGAGGTTGCGCTCTATATTAAATCTAATAAAATAGCTTTAAAAATTGACCGTTTTTGTACACTTTTCCAGAATATGAGAAAATTGACGCATTTCGTGACGTCATAATGCATTGACTAGCAAGAAAATGACGTCATTTTTTATAGATACGTAGTCACCAAAGATCTAAGTAATATCTAATGGATTATTAAGTAAAACTATGCACTTTCAGTTTTTCAGAAATTCACAGGGCCAAATAAGGCAAACATGAACCTTGTTCTTTATTTTGTTATTACTCCATTTATTCGAATACTGGCTATAGATACTATAAACTGAAAATCAGTAAATTACTCAATTTTGACGGTGCTCCATGACACCATTTTTTGTGTTCTAAATCGTTGATAATTTGTAAAAATAGGAAGATAAATTCCATTTTCTTAACTCAAACTATTCAAATTAGTAGTTAAAATATGTGTACTAAATTTGGATGTAATATGACGTTAAATAACAAAGTTACGTCAAAAGTCTACGAACGTTTTGAATGACCCTCGTACAATAAACTTCGAGTCCTATGTTACTGAGAATTGTGCTGTCATATCATATACTTGGTTAAAGGTTTGTGGGCATAATTCTGTCGATTTTTCCTGGTCTTCATTCTCATCACAAATGGTTTAAAAATCAGCTTAAGTTAACTTTCAGTTTTTTCTAGGCAATTTCTGTTACCTCTTCGCTTTGAGACAGACAGTGATCTAGATATCAAGACAAACACGGACTGTATAATTTTTGAGTAAATGTAGTTGGTGAATTGGCTTTTGTATTTTTTTTTTTAATTTAATCTTTTTTTTTTTTTCGTTTGAATAACATGATTGTTGTCTTTTGACATTGGAATTTGCGTTGGATTTGAGAATATTTATTATCATATTTATTATGTTATATTTCCTGATCTTGATTCTCATTACAGTAGGTTTACCGGTATGTAACTTTCAGTTTTTTGTAGTATGTAATTTCTGTGACAAAAGTTTTGCTTTGTGAAAGACAATGAGACAGTTTAGCAAGACATGAAATGAGGACAATCAATAATTAAAATCTTCTCATTATCAAATAAGATCTTGTAATCATTTAATGGTACACAATGAACCAACCAATATTGTTTTACCTTATTGTTCCCATTTTGTGATTGCCTAATCTTTTTCTTATTATTATTATCTCATGTAATTGAAGCACAATTTTATTTCTTTTTAAATCCCACTTCTTTGAAAAGAATACAAAGAGATTTAAATGCTCTTGTTTGAAGCAGGTAGCGTACTGCATCATTCCTAAATAAACATAATTAAAAAAGACCAACACCAATCATGACAGAAGGTTATTGTGAAAGGTATAATTTAGCAGACCACAGGAAAGGTAATGAACAAATTAAGTCGTCTCTCCGTAAAAATAGAGTAAATGCGAGTTGTTATTATCCACGTAAAAGGTGCCTCACCTGCACTTTGATTATATTTTAGACTTTTTTAATCAATAACAATGGATCAAGTACCAGATACAGCCCAGCACTTTATCGAGTGTGACACAGAATCTTGTAGGAACTTTTCTGAGTTTTACTGTAATACCTGTCATCAGCGAATCTGTGACCAATGCAAACAGCGCCATCAAGAACAGAACAATGGACATAGGATTGTCCTCTACCACGAGAGAAAAAGAAAACTTCCCTCAGAGAAATGCAGGATCCACGCCACAGGGGATTTAGATTTTTTTTGCGATGATTGTCATAATCCCATCTGTTCTACGTGCGTTGACCAACATCACAGTGATCATGAAATTAGTGACCTTGAAACAATTTACAATGATATTCTACAGGATTGTCAGAAGGCAATAACTGAGGTTTGGAGAAAAGACATACTTGAAGCTAAAGATAATGTTGAATTAATTGGGAAAAAGAGAGAAAATGTGAAGAAAGAAATTGTCAAACTTAGAGTTTCCATGAAATATAGAGCAGATGAACTGAAAGAGGTTGTCGACAATATACTAATTGATAATATTAAAAAGCTAGATGAAATAGAGAACTCCGTCCTAACAGAAATGATGGAACAACAGAAGAAAAAAGTGGACTACATTAATTACCTAGAAAAACTGATTGCAGATTATGAGAGTAAAATTTCTTTAATAAAACACACTGAACTCATAAAGTTCCATTTAGAAATTTCATTGGCTACCCTTAAGATGCCTAGCAAATCTGAACCCAAACTTCCAACCTTTACATTAGGTACACTAAATAAAGAAGAAATTGCAAAACAGTTTGGTGAAATAGAACTAGATTTATCAGAAAGGTTTAAACTTTCCTCTGTCATAAAAGTAAGTGAAAAAACTATCCCTAGAGAAGGAATTTTTCATTTGTCTCTCTTACCTCCAAACAAATTTTGGGCTAGTGAAAAGTGGGGGAATATCAATCAGTATGATATGGAAGGAAACATTTTACAAAAAATATCCACCACTATTTTGGATTTCCAAGGTAACCACACAGTCACAACAGAGGAGGAACTGCTTTACACAGATATGAATGAAAACGCTGTAAACAGAGTAAAAAGTGACATGTCCACCGACAAACTCATTGAAACAGGGAGCTGGGAACCTGGAGCCATCTTCTCCTCTCCTATAAATGGACACATATTAGTTGGTTTACGAAAAAGAACAAAGTCAAGCAACAATAAAATAACTAGATACAACAGAGAAAGAACGAAGTTACAGGACATACAGTGGGATGATAAAAGAAAAACTCTCTACAGAAGTATACGCTTCATCACAGAGAACATCAATGGTGACATCTGTACATCTGACGGGAAAGCCAGAAAGGTTGTGGTGGTAACTGCCTCAGGAACGTATCGCTTCTCTTACACTGGTCACCACTCTCAGTCTGGATTTATTCCCAGTGGAATTTGTACAGATGTTCTGGGAAACATTTTGGTGTGTAATAACTATTTCACATTTATGAAGAACTGCTTTAGTGTCGACATGCTGGACATCAATGGTCAGTTCTTGTCTTTTTTACTCACATCAGAACAATTTCCGCCATCCCCCCATGCTCTCTGTATTGATGACCAACACAATCTCTGGGTTGGGGCATCGGACAGTTTTACTATCCTTGTGTATAATTATTTGCAGAAAACAGAAAAATGATACTATATTATATTTACTGTCTTATGTTTATGCTTTATCAGTTTGTTTAACAAACAACCTCACTTAGTTGCACATAAATGTTAACTAAATGGAGAAATAAATAACAACAAAGATTAAAATAAGTCACACAAGTATATTCACCTACCTCCAACCTTTGGTTGTTATCAATAATCAATGCCCTGCAATCATCGGTTGCTATGTTAAAATTGCAACTTCTGTTATAAAAAGAGTGATCACATTATTAAACGCAACAGTACAAAAATTATTAAAATCAAAAACAAGCAAACATTCCAGTTTTGTTCATTTTCATACCAAACATGACTTGCGGTTCAAACATTTTGCATGGTATTGGATAAAATTGAGGGTATCCACCATAGGCGCTTGGTTACAGGATTGTGTATTTTTTGTATTATGTGTTTTTCTATGTGTGCCTGAATACCCTCATTAAAATAAAAATGAAAATTCGCCGAAATTAGCACGTTTTGAGAAATGTCATATTTACTCTTTTTATATACAGTAAATGAAGAGGCCAAGGGTCAACATGCTTCCCAGATGTTGATTGGTTGCACTGTAGCAGATTACTGTTCTCGGATTGGTCCATTTCCATTGCATTGTATACTGGCTTTGTTTCCTCTCGTGTAAGGTTATATTGGTGCAGAAGTTGTCTAATTTTTCTATTGGTCTTCAAAAGTGCTGTTATTTGAAAGTTCATCAATTCAAATATTCCAACAGGTAATAAAATGGAAAAAAAAACTCATTAGGTTCAAAGAATAAACTGATATAGTTGTGCGTTAAAGTCATTAAATATTACAGTGCTAAAGCAGAGGGGCTGTCATCCATACGTACACATCAAGTCACAATGGGTCAGAACAAAACGGTAAATTACAGAGTATTTGACTTTATTTTAAGAAAAATAGCAACATGCATGTTAACTTTTGTTTTGCTTTAAATTAAAAGCCAATTTAAAACAAATTGTTGACAAACACTCTCTGGCTGCAAACATTTTCTTCAGATTCTATGGATAATGAAACAGAAGAGGACATATATGCCAGAGTAGATCTTTAATAAGCATGTCATGTTTCAGAAATACTAATCCCACCCCAATAATTGGAATTTTTGTAAATCAAATGAGCATAACACTGTCCGAAATCCCGCGACTGATTTTCTGATGATTAATTTGTATATCAAATTTCAAATCAGCATTTGCAGTGAAAATAAGTTTTGAGCAGCTTTTACTTCCCATCTTACTAAATATCCACGTCTCTTTTCCTAACTGCTCAGGAAATGGCTTCAAATTTAACAAAAAATTTTAATGTAAATCAGTATCCTCTGTGTTCTCTAGCAAAATGTATTTTGTTGCACATGGAACCAGACAGCCTGATTCTTTGGTCCAACAAAATGCACACTGCCCTAGAACTCAGTCAATGGCTGTATAATATCCAGTTTTATAAAATAACATAAAGATAACAAAGTTTTCATATATTACTTTATTTTCCAGTATCTCGAGGCTTAACAACTTGGTTTCAACATAAAACATAAAACTTTAACATCCCTCAAACAAAGGTCAATTTGAATCTCATTGCATATTTTGATAAACTAAAAATCACACTTGCACAATAAAATGACTTTGTTTAATCCTTCCTTTTCACATACACCTTTTGACATATTATCATCATGATCTGTTACTTTGTCAGACCATGTCATAGTTAATATTACAAGTATCTACCTGGTCTCGTATAAAGTTCTATCAAAATGCTGGGTTAACAACAAAACAATGATTTATTGTTTATAACAAAAATGAATTCATAAAAACACTTCTCGTGATAAAAGTAATAAACTAATTTTTTCAGCTTTCTTATTACATGCATTAACATTATCATTGAGTTTTGGAACGTGAAAAAGAATATTTTTCTGGTGTAAAATGTTTCACTACAAACAAAATATTTAAAGATAGTCATCATTGTAACAGAAGATTAATCGATAACTTTTATGCGTGGTTTGTTCCTATATTTTTAAGCTCTATAGTCACATTATTTCCATGCACACATATTATATTATCATTTGTATTGTATGCATTGTATGTCCTCACAAGTTCTGTCTCAAACCACTGCACATCCATCTACACAAGAATACGACATCAAATAACATCTACACAGAAATAATCATCCAGAGTTTTTACAAGATCAACCATTTTCAAAAGACATCAAATATCATCTACACATAATAAATCACCCCTGTTGCATCTCTAAAGAAGGTCTTTAAAAGGCATTATACAGAATCTTCACAGAATTCATTAAACATTCACTGCTGTCACAAGTTCAAACCACTGTCTTAAGGCGTCACACAACACATGAGGAAGGGAGTTAATGTCTCGCAGTATGATGTAAAAAGGAAAAGGGAAGTAATCCATGTAAGGCTTGATTTCTGGATGCTGAAATTGACAAAAACAAATGAATTGCATGTCTTAATTAAATCAACATCACTATTTTCTTGAATAGTATTGTGTTTGTCATCAAAGTCAGTAAAATGGGTAAAAAAATCATATTTTATTATCATTCCAAGATACCGTATAT